CCCAGGCCCCCGGCTTACAAGAATCAGGCCATCCTTTTCCACACAATTCTCAGAGTAGGTGTCATGACCTCCATTCACCATTCTGTCCTTAGCAAGTTGGTGTGTTGTAACTACTTCCAAAACCTACTTCATGAGCCAATAGAGCAGTAGGACCTGCACAGATGGCAGCTATCAGTGCCTTCTGGTTTTCCTGCTCCTTCACAGCGGCAGACTCGAATAAATTCTGTGCACCCAGATTACCTCCTGGTAGAACCACTACATCATATAGTTCCTCTTTTTTTGCATCTTCACGACCGGTATCAGGACAAATGAAGATATCATGGCTACACTGTACTGGGTCTTTTCCAGCCAGACCTGCAATGGTGACCTTAATCCCAGTTTACCTCATGACATCTACAGGGATGACCATCTCCATTTCCTCTGCTCCTTTAGCCAGGATGACCAGAGCTCTTTTGGAAGCCATTTTTATGTTATGTTTTAAAGACTGCACCCCATGCCTCTTCCTGCGATCACAGTGCCCTGGCCCATCCAGGACCACTCACCACACACCAGGCTGAAGGTGGACCTGCCCATTTTAAAATCAGGTTATATGTTGCCAGGTGCAGTGGCTAGTGCCCACAATCCCAGCACTTTGGGAGGCCAAGGCAGGGGGATCACTTGAGCTCAGGAGTTCAAGACCAGCCTGGCCAACAGGGTGAAATCTCGTCTCTACTGTTTACAATAGCAAAGACCTGGAACCAACCCAAATGCCCATCGATTGTAGACTGGACAAAGAAAATGTGGCACATATACACCATGGAATACTACACAGCCATAAAAAATGATGAGTTCGTGTCCTTTGTAGGGACATGGATGAACCTGGAAACCATCATTCTCAGCAAACTGACACAAGAACGAAAATCAAACACCGCATGTTCTCACTCATAGGTGGGTGTTGAACAATGAGAACACATGGACAAAGAGAGGGGAGCATCACACACCAGGGTCCATTGTTGGGGAGCTGGTGGGAGGGAGGGTGGGGAGGGATAACGTGGGGAGAAATGTCAGTATAGGTGATGGGGCGATGGAGGCAGCAAACCACCTTGCCATGAATGTACCTATGCAACAATCTTGCATGATCTGCGTATGTACCCTAGGAAAAAAAAAATACAAAAACTAGCTGTGTATGATGGCACATGACTGTAATCCCAGCTATTGGGGAGGCTGAGGCAGGAGAATAGCTTAAACCCAGGGGACAGAGATTGCAGTGAGCTGAGATTGCACCACTGCACTCCAGGAAGGGCAACAGAGTGAGACTCTTTCTCAAAATAATTAAAAAATCAGGTTGTATGTTTTCATGCTACTGAGTTGTAGATCTATTTTATACTAATAAGACTTTAATTTATATAATGTGAATTTTCCTAACAATAACGTGAGCATCTTTTCATGTGCTTATTCGTCATCCATTTATCTTCTTTGGTAAAGTGTTACTATTGGGTTGTAAAAGTTCATCCTATATTCTGGATCCAAGTTCAATATCAGATCTGTATTTCGTGGATATTATCTTTCAGTGTGAGCCTTCCATTATTATTATTATTATTGAGACAGAGTCTTGCTCTGTTACCCAGGCTGGAGTGCAGTGGTGCTGTCTTAGCTCACTGCAACCTCTGCGTCCTGGGTTCAAGGGATTCTTGTGCCACAGCCTCCCAAGTAGCTGGGATTACAGGCACTGCTACCACACCTGGCTAATTTTTGTCTTTTTTAGTAGAGACAGGGTTTCTACATGTTAGCCAGACTGGTCTCAAACTGCCGACCTCAGGTATCTGCCCGTTTCGGCCTCCCAAAGTGCTGAGATTATAGGCATGAGCTACTGTGCCTGGCCATTCCTTTTCATGTACTTAACAATGTCTTTTGGAGAGAGAAAGGTTTTAATAAAGTCCCAATTTACCAATGTTTTTCTTCTATAGTTCATGTGTTTTATGTTCTATTTTAAAAAAATATTTGCTTAACCCAAGGTCACAAAGATTTTCTCATGTTTCTTTAAACAGCTTTACAGTTTTCCTCTAGTGTTCAGGTCTCTGATACATTTTGAGTCTATTTTTGCATATGGCATGAAGTATGATTTGAGGTTGTTGGTGTTTTATCTTTTTTTGGCGTATGGGTATCCAATCATTCCAGCACCCTTTTTTGAAAAGATTATTCTTTCCCCAATTAATTGTCTTGGCACCTTTGCCAAAAATCAACTGGCCACCCATGTGTGGTTCTTTTAGAATTTCTATTCTGTTTCTTCAATCTGTATGTTTATTCTTTTGCCAGTACCATACTATCTAAATAACTTCAGTTTTATAATAAATTTTGAAATCAGATAATGTCAGTGTTTCAACTTTTTGTCAGAAATGTTTTTTAAATTCCTTGTTATGGTCCATATAGCTTTAGCATCAGTTTGTCAATCTCTACAAAAAAGCCTGTTTTAATTTTTATTGGCATTGTTTTGAAACTAAAGATCAATCTAGAGAAAAATGTCATCTTTGTGTGTGTGTGTGTGTGTGTGTGTGTGTGTGTGTGTGTGTGTGTGTGGTTTCCAAGGAATTTATTTAATCAGAACTTCAGAGGATTCTAGAAACCTGCCTTTTTAACAAGGACTGCAGATGATTCTAGGTTTTGATTAAAAGTATGGTTTGGGGAAGCAATTTTACCCTTTATTGTGTGTCAGATTATATATACAATAAAACTAAAAGTTATGTAATAGAACAAAAAATGCTATATACAAAGTATTAGTAGATACCTCCATACAATATGGTTTTAAAAAGAAAAGACAATAGGCTGGATCACCTGAGGTTGGAAGTTCAAGATCAACCTGACCAACATGGAGAAACCCCATCTCTACCAAAAATACAAAATTAGCCAAGCGTGGTGGCGGGCGCCTGTAATCTCAGCTACCTGGGAAGCTGAGGCAGGAGGATCGCTTGAACCAGGAAGGCAAAGGTTGCAGTGAGCCAAGATCACACCATTGCACTCCAGCCTGGGCAACAAGAGCAAAACTCCATCTCAAAAAAAAAAAAAAAAAAAATCAAATAAAATGAAATCTATGTATATATAGTTGTATTCCTAAATACAGTAATCCCCCACCTCATCCGGTGTTTCCCTTTCTGTGGTTTTAGCTACTTGTAGTCAACCACAATCTGAAAATAGGTGAGTACTGTGTAAGATATTCTGAGAGCAAGAGAGACCAACCACATTCACATAACTTTCGTTACAGTATACTGTTAACATTGTTCTATTTTGTAAATGTTATTAATCTCTTACTGTGCTTTAGAAATTAAACTTTATTATACTTATGTATATATAGGAAAAACAGTGTGTAAAGGGTTTGGCACTGAGGTTTCAGGGATACACTGGGGGTCTTGGAATGTATCCCCAGAGGATAAAAGAGAACTACTGTGTACAAAACCAAAAGCCACACAACAAGAAGAATCACTGAGAGGGAAATTCAAGTATAAGTGAACACATTCCTCTGAATTCCCAGGTTTCACTGAGCATCAACACCCACCAATCTTTCAGTCGTTTTCTTGAATATTATTCTGTATGCACATTCTTTACATCTGATTGGATCCCTGGATTTTATTTCATTTTCTGTGTGACATTCTCCACAGATATGTATCACTGGCTGCTGCTTTGGGGGTTGAATGTCCTGGATGTCACTGTTAGCCCTGAGTGTCTTTCCAGTTTGGGCCCAAGTACCCACCACAAACTCCAACCCACCAATTTCCTACCTACCCAGCACTGAGAAATGGCATCTTAATGATATTTATTCTTTCAATTAATGAGCATGCTGTATCTCTCCAGTTCTATTTATTTCAGTTTTATAGGTTTATTATTCAAATACTCTGAAGCTCTGCAATTAAGTGCATACACATTTACGATTGTTTACCTACTCTTGAAAATTTGACCTTTACAGCCAGGTGTGGAGGCTCACACCTGTAATCCCAGCACTTCAGGAGGCCAAGGTGGGTGGATCACAAGGTCAAGAGCCTGAGACCATCCTGGCCAACATGGTGAATCCTTGTCTGTACTAAAAATACAAAAATTAGCTGGGCATGGTGGTACATGCCTGTAGTTGCAACTACTCAGGAGGCTGAGGCAGGAGAATCGCTTGAACCCGGGAGGCAGAGGTTGCAGTGAGCTGAGATTGTGACACTCTACTCCAGCCTGGTGACAGAGCAAGACTCTGTCTCAAAAAAGAAAATTTGGGTTGGGTGCAGTGGCTCACGCCTGTAATCCTAGCACTTTGGGAGGCCGAGGTGGGTGGATCACGTGAAGTCAGGAGTTCAAGACCAGCCTGGCCATCATGGTGAAACCCCATCCTAAAAAAAAAAAAAAAAAAAAAAAAGAAAAGAAAAGAAAATTTGACCTTTACTATTTATTTTTATAGAGATGAGGTCTCACTATGTTGCCCAAGCTGGTCTCCAAGTCTTGCCCTCAAATAGCCCTACCACCTTGACCTCCCAAAATGTTGGGATTACAGCATGAATCACCTTACCTGGCCCCACATTTGGACTTTTATCCTTATGAAATGGCCCTCTTTCTTTTTTTTTTTTTTTTTTGAGATGGGATCTTGCTCTGTCACCCAGGCTGGAGTGCAGTGGCACCATCTCAGCTCATTGCAAACTCCACCTCCCAGGTTCAAGTGATTCTGGTGCCTCAGCCTCCCGAGTAGCTGGGATTGCAGGTGCCTACCACCACACCTGGCTAATTTTTGTATTTTTAGTAGAGATGGGTTCTCGCCATCTTGAGAACCCATTCTTGACCTCAGGCAGTCCGCCCACCTGGGCCTCCTAAAGTGCTGGGATTACCGGCGTTAGCCACCAGCACCTGGCCCTTTGTTTCTATTATATTCCTTGCTCTTCAGTGTACATCAATATTGACATAGTCACTACAGCTTTTAAAATATTTTTTAGTATTTGCATGGTATACCTTCTTCCACTCTTTCATTGTTAACCTCTCTGTGTTTATATATTATTTATTTATTGGAATACTTCATGAATTTGTATGTCACCCTTGCACAGAGGCCATGCCAGTAGTCTGGTCTGTATTATTCCAATTGTAGTATATGTGCTACTGAAGTAAGCACTGTGTCTTTATATTTAAACTGGGGTTTTAATTGATATAATTGGGTCTTCCTTTTTTAATGTAATCTGTCACTCTCTGCCTTTCATTGGGTGGTTTTAAGCTATTTATATCTGATGTGATTATCAACACAGCTGGGTTTAAATATATAGTTTTGCTCTTCAATTCTATTTGTCTTTTTTTCCCCCCTCTTTTCCTGCCTTCTTATGGAGTAATGGAGTTTTTAAAGTAAATTCATCTTATCTCCACTCCTGACATGTTAGCCATACCTCTTTGTTTTGTTGTTTTTTATTTTTTGAGACAGTCTCTCTCTCTGTCCCCCAGGCTGGAGTACAGTGGCACGATCTTGGCTCACTGCAACCTCTACCTCCCAGGTTCAAGTGATTCTCATGCCTCAGCCTCCTGAGGAGTTGGAATTACAGGCACCCACCACCATGCCCAGCTAATTTTTTTGTATTTTTAGCAGAGACAGGATTTTGCCATGTCGGCCAGGCTGGTCTAGAACTCCTGGCCTCATGTAATCCACCCGCCTCAGCCTCCCAAGGTGCTGGGATTATAGGTGTGAGCTACTATGCCCAGCCTGTTTTGTTATTTTTAATGGTTGTTCTAGGATTTACAATATAAATCTTTAACTTATCATAGTCTACTTTCAAACAATATTATTTCATGTGTAAGAACCTTACAACAGTATACATCTATTTCTTCATTCCTGGCCTTTATTCTAGTGTTGTCATACATTTTGCCTCTATGTAACTTATAAATCCCCTAATACAGTTGACCCTCTGTATCTGTGGGTTCTGCATCTGTGGGTTCAAACAACCACAGATCAAAAATATCTGGAGAAAAAAATTGATGATCGTGTCTGTACTGAAAACAAACAGACTTTTTTTTTTTAATTCCCTAAACAATATAATAACTATTTAGATAGCATTTATATGATATATTAGGCATTATAAGTGATCTAGAGATAATATAATATATACAGGAGGATGTGCATGGGTGATATGCAAACTATGCACCATTTTATATAAGGATGCGAGCGTCCACAGAGTTTGGTGCCTGTGAGGAGTCCTGGAGCCAATACCCTATGGATAGCAATGGACAGCTGTACATTGATTACTTTTCCCTTAAAGGGAAAAAAATAATCTATTTACCCCCACACTTATCATTCCCAGTGCTCCTTACTCTTTTGTGTAGATCCAAATGTATTTTGGGTATCATTTTCCTTCTGTCTGAAGGATTCCTTTAGCATTTCTCACAGTGCTTATCTGCTGGTGATGAATCCTCTCAGCTTTGGTGTCTGAAAAGGTTTATTCAGCTTTCAGTTTTGAAAGATGTTTTTGCCGGATGCAGAATTCTAGGTGGGCAGTTTTTTCTTTTGGTATTTTACAGATGTGAACACAAACTCTTCCCAGGGATATGTGAGCTCTGAGGATGGTTCTGCCTGGTCTTGCCCAGTGATTCTTCCCCCAGCCTTGGTGGTTTCCTCCCAGGCCTGCACAGACACTGAATGGGACCCCTTGGCAGAGCTTTGGAGATTCCTTGTCATGTGGCTTCCTCCTCTCTGGTACTCTGCTTTTCAAATTCTCGTCACCTTGGCTTCCCTGATCCTGGAACACTGTCTCCTCATCTCAGCAAGGCTGTTGGCCTCTGTTTGGGTTTCCTGCCCTGTGCTGGGGCCTGGACATTGTCTCATTTGTTTCATTCCTTTTGGGGATGATTCATCTGCACTGCCTGTTATCTGAATGGATAAACATCATTTTTTCATCTATTCTGTTTGGCCTACTAGTTGTTTACAGAATGGTAAACTAGTCCTTCTTATTCCATTATCACTAGTTTAGGTCTTAAAAATATTCCTGGCCAGGCATGGTGGCTCCCGCCTGTAATCCCAACACTTCGGGAGGCCAAAGTGGGTGGATCACGAGGTCAAGAGATCGAGACCATCCTGACCAACACGAAGAAACCCCAACTCTACTAAAAATACAAAAAATTAGCTAGGCATGGTGGCATGTGCCTGCAGTCCCAGCTACTTGGGAATCACTTGAACCCAGGAGAAAGAGGCAACAGTGAGCCAAGATGGCGCCACGGCACTCCTGCCTGTCGACAGAGTGAGACTCTGTCTCAAAAAAAATTTTTTTTTAAATCCTATATTAAGATCCATTTTAAATGTTAAAAGTTCCAAGAATTCCTATATACTAATAGTTTTACTTTTTATTTATTCAGTGTACAATTTTGAGTATGTGCTTACATTCTTGGGCTCTTGGCAAAAAATCCATTGCCTCTCAGGGGACCATGCCCTGTGGGTTAGGAACCATTGGCTTAGGCCAATGGAATGAGAAGGTCTCATTCACTCTCTTAATCTCTATACTTAGAAGCCTGCTTGCTGAGACCTCACGTTTTCCCCCTGAAAACTAATACTAGGAGAAAGCTTACTCTTTAACACTCCCACCCCACTTTACCTTGGCAGAATTCAGTAAAGTAATGATCTAAAATGTATAGACCTGGTTTGAACATTCATACATCAAGTACAACCCAAATAAATCCCAAGACGTTATGTGATCTGGTTTTGCCATTGTATCCCATTCAGAGATATAATGCTTACTCACCACCAAAAATAATAAAAAAGTAACCCCAATTTTTAATTGGGTCACTCATAATCACTAAAGTGTGTCCAACTTATAATTCACAATAATGAGATTTTCTTTTTTCTCTCCTCTCCCATTCTCTCATATCCAGAAAACCTCTTTAAACTCCGAAACACTGTCTCTGACACCCAAACTTCCTTTTCTCTTTGTCTAGATAAATGATTACTAATCTATGAGCCATAGACTACTGAGGGATAATGGATCCATATGTATACCAATAATTGTCTATATGCTACATTACCAAAAAAAAGAAAAACTTACATTCATATTAGAATCCTTGAAACTTCTGACATTTAAGATGAATGTAAAATAGTAGAGAATTAAAAAAAAAAAAAAGGCCAAAGAGATAATAGCTGAAACCTGGGAATAATGGAATAAAAGACTCCTATATTCTTCTGTTTTAACTCTTTATTATAGATATATAGATATAGGTATAGATATAGATTTAACATCTGTCTTCATTTAATTTTTTTTCACTGCTGTTTTGCCTGTTTCCAGATTATCTACAACAGACAAAAAACAGGAACTAACCCAGCAAATTAGAATTCACACCCTTTGGGACTATTAATTTTGTCCCCATATACAAGGATGAGTTTATATCCACATCCATCTTTCATATGACAGGAACAGCTCTCTGCACCACCAATGAGTATGAGGCCTTTCCCTACCAGACTCCTTCATTCGCAACACTGCCTTTGGGATGAGCAGCCCTCAGTTCTAGACCTGAGGCTCAGGCTGCAAAAAGCAGCAAGTGCTGACGTGGTCCCTTGGGGGACAGCCGGCAGCTTGGAGGGATTGGAGGATCCCACAGTTGTGAGTCAGGGCCTGCTGAGACCAGCCCTAGGGTTGGGTCAGGAGGTACTGCCACCCCCTGAGTCCTGAGCGGCAGTGGCCTTAGTCTAGGGGAGGCAGCATGCTGAGGCATTCGGTGTGAGAGCTGACATCAGGCAGCTGGAAGAGCCTTGGCCATGGAGATTTCATATCACCTTATACCGGTCTGGGTAATCTCCTGGAGATGTCTAGACTTGCTAAGTTTGTTCTGGGGTTGAGAATGAAAGGGACTACATGACAATTCTGAGTGGCTATGAAGATTCCCCCAGCTCCTTGCCCAGTGCCAGGGCTGGGGCTGGATGAAAAGATACCCAGTGCAGGCCAGGCACAACCTGGCCCCCTGCCATGAACGCTGCCTGCAGCTGCTCTGGAGTTCCAGTGCCCTGGTTTCTTTTCATTTTCTTCCTTGCTGTTTTGCCCATTCTCCAGCTTCCTCACAACAAAGGAGAAAACAGCAACTAACCCAGCAAAAAAGAATTCAAGGAGTTTCCAGCAAAGGTCTGATACCCTGTGGTTGCAGGGTTTCTAATTGAAGGGATTCTTTCTCCACTCAGCCCTGAGTCTAGCAGGGGCACCAACAAACAGGCAAAGCCTCCTCCCAACCTACAGAGGAGATAACTTTCTGTTTCCCTGATGCCTCTCTGCTGGTTCCTCTAGCTCCAGCTGGAGTGGAACATTCACCTGAACATCCCTGAGGTAACCTCGCCAAAGCCGAAGAAATGCAAGTTGCCTGCAGCCTCACCGTGGCACATCTGCCCCAGCGGCCCCACCTACAAGCAGCCCTTTCAGTCCAAGCACTGGGAATGTGTGCCCCTGCAGATGGCCCGGTAGGTGCTGGGAAGCTGAGGGGGCAGGAGCTGTATGAAGAGGCAGGGAGCAGGGGAGACCAGCCTGGGAAGGCAAGCAGTGAAGTGAGGGCACCAACAGGCCAAGATCACCCTATGAGTTGCAAAGTGCCTGTCTTCTCAGCTGCCCTCCCCAGTGCTGGCCACTGACCCAGAGGTGGGGTGTGTGTCACAGCGTGTGGGCTTCAGGCACTAGTCTGACCTAGTGCGTTTCAAACTATGCAATGGAAAGCCTCTGGGGACCCACACCTGAAAACTTACAACCTTTCTACCCTGCGCATCGATTTGGCATCTGCCATTGGTCTGTCCTATAAACAAGCCTGATTCTCTCACCATGTGACCTCCAAGTTCTGGAGACAGTGAACCTCTGGGCAGCTAAAAAGACCCTGGTCCACACCCACCTTTGCATGCTAGATGAGGGCTTCTGCCCCAGGGCTTGTTCCTTGAAGGACAGGGGCCACCCTGGGAGCCTCTTCCAGCAGCTCCTCAGCCAGAGGGGCCCAAGAGAAGTGAGAATCAGACTCAGTATTGGAGGGGAGACAAGGAGGGCAGTGACACACTCCATTTGAGAAAGGAAGGAGATGAGGCCGAGTCTTGGGCCTGGTGGCTCTGGAGAGCCTCTTGCATCTCAGTCTCTAACTCTGCTGCTTTACACGTTCTCCAAATGCCCCACTCTCAGCCAA